GTTGGCTTGAAAATGCCTTCTTTGCCAAAAGAAACTCAATAGATTTGTTTACCATTGTTCGCTTTGCGATTTCAGCATCCATGTGAAGTGTGCCAACAGCCCGCCACCACTCATTGTCGATGCCCCGAAGTGCCACGGGCATGCACTCACCCTGATGGCTAGAGAAGACCCCTTCACTTGTAATGCTTGTGGTATGTGTGGTGAAGGAAGCCCTTATGTTTGCCCTCCGTGCGGTCGCATGTTCCATCGGGATTGTATCACGCTACCATGTGTCATAAACATCAATCGACATGACCATCGGATCTCTCACACATATTCTCTTGTTTTTGGAGACTAGGAATGCGGAGTTTGTCGCAAAAAAATCAGTTGGAAGTACGGCGCTTATTCTTGCTTGATATGTCTTGATTATGTTGTTCATTCGAAGTGCCCAACTAGAGAGGATGTGTGGGATGGGGTAGAACTCGAAGGTGTACCTGAAGAATTTGTAGATGTTTCGCCATTCAAAGTTATTGAAGAAGGATTCATTAATCATTTCTCCCATGATGAACATAACTTAAGGCTTATTGAGGATGTTATTGATCATGATGAAAGCGTACGGTGCGAAGCTTGCACCCATCCTATCTATTCTGAGAAGCACTACAGTTGTATGGAATGCCATTTTTTCTTCATGCGCTAATCTTCCTCTTCAAAAAAGACATGGGCTTTGCACAAAGCCGCTTACTCTAATAAGCACCAAAAATGATAGCGAGGAGAATTTCTTTTATTGTTATGCTTGTGTAACTATGTCAAATGGCTTCAGGTACAAGTGTGGTGACATATCACTAGATGTGCAGAGTGCGACAATATCATGGTATTGTGATTATAAATGTCACCCACATACCCTCTTTCTCACTACAATAGACATGGGAACTTGTGGGGGCATGCCATGTTATAATCAAGTGTTGCGTTGCGTTGAATGTGAGTTTTCGATGGACTTCAAGTGTGCTACTCTACCAAAAAAAGATAAAGCACAGGTGTGATGACCATTTATTATCATTGTGTTTTGGTGTGAAGGCCAAGGCGACGTGTCAAGTATAGAGAACGCCATGTGTCTATGGAGACTGTTGGCCTCTTATTATATAATATATATTATAGATAGAGATTAAAAAATAAATAGATACATTTATTTTCAAAATTTTAGTCGTTATTTACATAATAAGATTTATTAAATATTACTTATACGAAAAT